TTCTTTCCTTTTGCATGTCCCCTGGGGGGGGTATTTTTTTCCCAGCTGACCTCACCTCCTAAGATGCTCTAGACTTCAAAAAAAGAAAAATCACCATTTTTTAAAAGGGAGCGAGAGAGAGAGAGAGAGACTCACCCCAAATGTGGCCCAAAACTGTCAAACCTCCATCTGTGACTTTGGTCCCGATTTGAACTCTCGGTGTCCCTTTGCTAACGCTTTCGTGCCAACATTTGCATCTGGGGTTTCCTGGTTGGCTGGGGAATTCTGGGAGTTGACGTCCGCCTCTCTTAAAGTTGCCGAGGTTGAGAAACGCTGCTTGGCGTCAACCCTGGGAAGCAAAGCGGGGTTAACGCCACCCTCCCTTGACCTCCACGCAGGCAGTCACCACTTGGAAGTTAAGGTTGGCGGGGAAACCCTGATGGCGCGTCTCCTCCGGAGCACCATTGGAGCCCTGAACACTTCGTCCGAAATGGTGATGGAGACCAACAACTTGCGTAAGTGGGGAGGAAGAGGCGGCCAGCAAGGAGGCACCTTGCCCCAGGCGGGGGGTGGGGGATTGCTTCCGCTCAGCCAATCAGACGCTTTGAGGGTGGGCCCAAATCTGCATTGTGCTGCTATACTTCCACTTCCACTGGATGCTCTACAATGGTGCTTCTCGACCTTGGCAGCCTTGAGAGGGGTGGACTTCAGCTCCCTTCCTCCATGGGTGGATTTCAACTCCCAGAATTCCCCAGCCAGCATGGATTGGACTTCAACTCCCAGAATTCCCCAGCCAGCATGGGGTGGACATCAACTCCCAGAATTCCCCAGCCAGCATGGGTTGGACTTCAACTCCCAGAATTCCCCAACCAGCATGGGGTGGACATCAACTCCCAGAATTCCCCAGCCAGCAAGGGGCAGACTTCAACTCCCAGAATTCCCCAGCCAGCATGGGTTGGACTTCAGCTCCCAGAATTCCCCAGCCAGCCATGCTGGCTGGGGAATTCTGGGAGTTGAAATCCACCCATGGAGGAAGGGAGCTGAAGTCCAACCCATGCTGGCTGGGGAATTCTGGGAGTTGATGTCCACCCCATGCTGGTTGGGGAATTCTGGGAGTTGAAGTCTGCCCCTTGCTGGCTGGGGAATTCTGGGAGTTGATGTCCACCCCATGCTGGTTGGGGAATTCTGGGAGTTGAAGTCCAACCCATGCTGGCTGGGGAATTCTGGGAGTTGATGTCCACCCCATGCTGGTTGGGGAATTCTGGGAGTTGAAGTCCACCCATCTTCAAGTTGCCAAGATTGAGAAATGCTGCTTTGCGATGCTTGGTGGCCAAGGCTGGGTGGTTCGTGTTTTTATTCCTCCAGCTGAAGGAGCCGCAGCCTAGCCGGGGGCCACAGCCCCCCCCAAAAGCGGCTTGTCGTTTCTTTTTTCAGAAGCTGGACATCATGGTCCCCCCCCCCTTGCCTTGTCTGTGTCCCACAGAGTGTTTGCCCGAAGCGCGAGGGATGAGCAAGGCCCAGTACGTGAACTGCGCCATTCCCCTGGGCGGCCTGGTCGCGCTGTGCTTTCTGCAAGTCTACGTCTTCCGTATCCGGCGGGTCATCGCTGCCTTTTACTTCCCCAAGGTTGGCGTGCCTTGGTCACCGCCGCGGCCCATCGATCCCATTTTGGCCCTTTTTCCAGTGCAAAAAGAAAAAAAGAAACGGTGAAGGAGAGGGCTGGTTGAGACACGCCGAAAGGCTGGACGCAGAATTGGCGGTGGGATTGGAGGGTTACAAAATTGGTGGAAGCGTCGATCGGAGTCCCCTGTAGGTCTGCCTACTCTTCCTCTCGATGCTCTGCAACGGTGGTTCTCCACCCGGGCAACTTTAAGAGGTGCCGACTTCAGTTCTGAGACTTCCCCAGCCAGCACGGGTGGACTTCAACTCCCAGAATCCCCCAGCCAGCAGGGGTGGACCAACTCGATGCTTCACCCCCCCACAGACACCCCAAGAGCCATTTTGACCACGTTGCCACCTCTGGTGCTGTGATTTCTCACCAGGCTGCAAAAGTGCAAACAATCCGGTAGATTTACTGCAGGATCAGCCCTGCTCCCTTTGCATGGTTCTCCTGCCAGCTTTGCCCTCTGGACCCCCCACCCCAAAGTCAAACTGAACCCCTGCCAAAAATGCTGTGGCAGAACCTGGAAACCCCCTCCTGTTTTGCGCGAGTCGGAGACCCGAACAATTCAAATGTTCTCACTTTATTTTATGCCGAATAAACTGAGGACGCTTCGCGCCAAGATGCGCGCGTACGTCATCTTTGCAAATGCTCTGGGAGTCGCTCCCTAAAATAAAGGCGTTGCAGACCAGAGCTCTGCTTTGCCCCACCCTTGGCCCAAGCCTCACCCTCAGCACTGGGGAACGGGACAACCACCCTGTGGGGTAGACTGCCTTTAGTCCGGGCCGGTGGAAGAGAAGGGAACTTTTCCTTCCTGCTTATGCTAGATTTTCTCCCCTTCTGGCAGCGAGAGAAGAAGCGAATTCTCTTCCTATACAACGAGATGCTGCGTCAACGCATGGCTTTCATCACTGTGCAACGGAAGCGCATTATCCTGTGCGCTCGGAGGCGCAAGAGAGTGGTGAGTAAAACAGAGCGCATTGGCCCTTTGAGGTAGGCCAAGTGAGGAAACAGACCCCGAAGAAATATTGGATCTTTGCTTATCGATCTAGATCAGTGTTTCTCACCCTCGGCCACTTTCAGCTGTTTGGAGCTCCCAGATTGATTGATTGATTGATTGATTGATTGATTTAAACCAGCTTACAACCACAAATACGGAAAAAAATATCCCTGGATTCTCCAAGATTTTCCTGCTCGGAAAGCAGATTTCCGAGGACTTCCAGAAAAACCCGAGAAACCACTTTTACTTCTCGAGACGTAGCAGAAAAATCCGTTTATTTTTCCAAAATGGATACTGTTCCTTAATTTCGGGAAACGCTTTGATGGCGCCCACAGTATCTTTTCGTCCGGGTTACAAAGGTATAACCGTGAGGTTTGTCGATATAACGTATTTCTTTTCCCAGAAAGGTAAATATTTGGGGGGGAACTTTTTGAAATAGGGCGACCACACACCCTCCAAGGTGCAAGATAATAAATTAAGCCGTATACAAATCCGTCTGATATTAGATCAAGACTCAGTCGTTTGAACCTGAGTTTTTTAACCTGCAAATTTTGCATTCATTCGCTGTAAAAAAAGAGAGAGAAACCCCTAAAAGGTGTAGGGTGTCCCCATTTCCAGCCTGCTTGTTAGCAGACAGCGGGACCCAAATTGCATCAAATCAATGCTGACAATTGCTTTTTCGCCCCCTTCCCCCCCAAAATCCCATTGCTTTCCAATGTCGTATCTTCAACACAGTTTCCTTAGGAATAATCACGGTCGGCCTTTATTAATCAATATGGATTATTCATTAGGATTTGACCAGGCTAAATGAATCAGAGGACAAGGATCAGAAGCGAAAGGCTCGGTGAACAGCACCGATCGACGTTCCCCGCCAGCTGAGCCAGGCCTTGTGACCTTCCGCACAACTATTTCCGTCGAATTTCTGCTTCTGCAAATATTTTTTGCACGCGGGTCTTTGCTTCCCACTCTTAGCAACAAACGCAACCC